AATTTATGTTTCCATCCAACACTCAACACATATCAGATCTAAGTTTCAAACCCTTTCTACTTTACAAATATACATATATACTAGCTATAGTCTCAATGGATGCGTCCATATATATATACATATGTATATATATATAAAAGCTTTAGATAAAGTGCTATCATAACTGGTATAATATCCAGACAAGAGGGGTTGCAAAAAATCCATGCAAAAGCTGCCACTAGTAAGAGCATATATGTAAAGCCATTGCAAAACTAACAATTATGCTATCAATGTTGAGAGTTAATAATTGACTACCAAAATTCTTCAAACTTAATAAATGCATAAATGCCTTTACTGAATTGTTTTTGAAAAATTAAGACTTTAATTAACAATCCTCACCACAATGCAGAACCACTGGTCACTGCATTCAATCACTTTTGCACAGGCCTGACATAAGTGAAGTGAAACGCAAAACGTGACAGCAGTTGATTAGTCCTCAACCTACCCCATTGCTGCAACTAGAGTCTGGGAGCACCGTGCCCAGAGCTGAGCTTTTCCTGCTGTGCTGAGCTAACAGTGTAGGATTGCAGGATCCTGAAGGACTTGGGCAGTGAAGGGCACGCTGCCGGCAGCGCCCCATGCCCAAGGGCCGTGGCATTTCATCCGCAGCGCCCCGGGAATCACACGTGATAGGAGCCACTCCTGCTATGCCAAACATCGGGACTCAAAGAGCTTCCAGTTGGGTTCTCGTAAATGACTCCCCTTCTGCAACCTGAAACCCCTTAGCGAGGGTCGAATGCAAATCCCTCGCATCGCTCAGCGTGGCTTTTAACACACGTATTTATATCCCCAGCAGATGTGCTTGAACCAATAAACAAATCTCCCTGTTACCAAGTTACCTGATGGTTCTTAATTTTCTCACTGAATATTCTGCCATTATGTATGTGGACTCACAATTGCTACTTCATATTCTAATTAAAAAAAAAAAAAAGCATGTGAAAGGACCTCAGTGTTGATATAAATGTAATACATCCAATTGAAGGCTCCTTTAAAAATCTCAAGGAACTTTAATGCTAACAAGAATCAAAAACTTTCATTTGCTGGCACATTTTAGCAGGTTATGCTAACATCTAGATCAAAATACCTGGGGAAAAATGCATACTTGAAACTGAAAAGTGCATTGCCATGGGAAACTGTGTGTTCTCCATACAGAGTAAGCCAGAAATCCATGAGATTCTCATTAGAGATCAAGTGACGTGAGCTACAGACAGGCACATAGCGAAGCTGGTGCAGCACAACGGTCGTGTTTCTCTACCTGGGGCTTGGATTGCAAGCTCACTTGATTACAATCAAAGCTCAATCAGTAAAGGACAAAGGTACAAGTTACAGTCCCTCTGACATTTGAGTAATCTTACACACATACACAAAAACACATTTCTGCAGGACGGCATGCATTTTCCCATGTAGTTAGAGTGGAGGCTGCAGGATTTTTGCATACAAATACGCCAAATTTGCAAGCATGTGACAGATCGCCCATTACCTGGCTTGCCTGAGTCACTATGCAAAATGCTGTGAGGTATGTTTTCTGTTTATATGCAAAGCTATAGTGACCAAATTAGCCATACCTCCCAGAAACACTGGGCTATTCCTGCTACCTCCTACAAACTGCAGAGGACAGAGATCATGGCTCCTTCAGAAGTGCTGTAACATCACAGGGAAAGAAATGCGAAAGAAATACTCCTCAACAAGATAATTTGTGTGTCCATGTAGGATCAAACAAAGAGGCTATTGAGGACAACATAAGGGCAGTGCCTGCATCTGTCCCATCTGCAAGGCAGCTTTAGTCCGGGCCTCTGCTGGCCACTCAACTTGGCAGCCATAATTGAGCTCCAAATGAGTATTAATGTGGTACTACACACTGTACGAACAGCAGGCTGCATAGAACACACTTGCTTTGAACTTGGTATAGTCTGAACTGTCAATATTTTATCACCTTTTCTCTTCTCCATCAGTGCTCTCATGATAGCAGTATGAACCAATATGAGAATTTGCAAACGTGGGAACCAAAAAGCCTTTGAAGTCTGATGAATATAGTGCTTGCCTAACATTTCAAAGGCTTTGACTTCTGCTACAACAGCACTTTTATTAAAGCTGGTTAACAAGGAAGGAATTTTAAAGCACAGACTGAACAAAAATTTGAAGAGGACCCAACGTGAATGACTGGGTAACACATCCCCTACAGCCTTTTCCTAGCAGATCAGATATGCACTTTTACAATGAATAATACATGCGAACTATAAATAGATATGACCATAAACATTATTTATAATGCTTGTTAACTTCCCTATCTCTTAGTAATCTTTGCTATTAAGCAAAAGTAGAAGACATTCACAGTAGTGCCAGGAAAACTTTTAACCTGGAGAGACATCTATCTATCTTGAGTAAGGACAAGAATAGGAATAAAACTCTGTCTTAGAATTATCTGGGAAGTATAGTAATGACTGGATGGGAATGAACAGCTTTATACTAGCCTGATTCTTCCTGGCTTCATAATTTAGTTTAAATGCAAAAACATGCTTGCTGCTGTAATCCTGACCATTTCTGAAACTTGGGGTCCTCATGGAAATAATCAGCCAGCTATATGCTATGCTACCTTCCTACCTTGAAGAAAGAAACTGATTGAATGCCCAAACCCTCTCCACTGAAACCCCATACTTTAAACTCAAGCCCTATCAAATTCAAATTCAAAATTCAAACCCTATCAAATAAATGGTTTCACATTTCGCACATATTCAGAAAGGTAAGTGCAACTTCATCCAGTAAAATATCATCTGTCACTGATAAAGTTATTAAACAGACCTTAAATATCTTTGGATGCCTCTCGGGGCATACTCATTTGTACTCTGCCTCCTTGGGCTCTTTTTTTTTGGGGGGGGGCTCTATTTTGCAGTGTTCACCACAGTCAGTCTATAAACATCAGGGGAAAAAGGGTCATTTTCTGCAATTTGGGATGGAAATGTCCACATTGGAAAGGAAGTTGCACTTCAATTAAAAAAAAAAAAAAACACACACACAAAACAAAACAAAAAAACAACGCAGATACCAGAAAGATCTCAGCAAAGTGGTGGAAATTCCTCAAGAGTAATAAAGGGGATTATAGCATTTAAATAATGTGGATAAATTTAAGAAACCTTAAACATGTGCAAACTTCACAAAATGATTACTAAGGAGGAATATAAATATTCCAAGGGCATTAACACTAAGAAGTGGTTTAACTATGTGTCTCCTGTGGCCATCCAGAGTTTAATGGATGGCTGACAGAAACTATCAAACTTTTACTTGTTAATACAGTATTAATACAGTGTTTCTTTCTCATTTTATCCAAGTTTTGCCTGAAGGCAAGCAAATTCCTTCCCATCTCTATTAGATATGTATCCATAATAGAGCTTCTGCAGTACATTCATCTTCTTTTCCATGGAAAAAAGAGCATCAGCAAAATCAAGATTCCTGATCAGTGAATAATTTCAGAATGAGCTTGCTGCAGCTGTGGGTGACCCACCAACTTCTAAATGGAGACGTTGTATGAAATGATACCTGGATATATAATAATTATGTCTAGTTCTCTATATAGAAACTGTCAATTTGTTCTCACAGCAGATCAATCTGAAAAGGTGGCCTAGATTTCATCCAGGTAATTATAAGGAGCACAAGCTAGTGACTGAGTCAAGATTTCTAAATAACAAACTAGTCACTCCTAACGAGTCCAGTTTGAAAATTAATTTGATAGTAGACTTTGCCATAAAACACTTTTAAAAGAGTTGAGAAAAGCTATATGTGGGTTGATTTCCATTTTGAACACTATTCTGGTCTTGAATAGATGACCAAAATATTTTTCTTATTTAGGATATTATGTTTTTCTGTTGTGTTGTTTTGCATGATTGAGTTGGACACAATGCTCTCTAATTCATTGAAGACTGATGCAGGTATCAAATACGATATGCTTTGCCTCATGGTATTAATAATAATATTAACAATAAGAGAACATTATAAACAATAAGAGAAAAAAATTGTAACCTAATCTCTCCCTCAAGAATCTTTTACCCCTATTTTAAGTAGTATTAAAATAACATCTGATATATTATTGAAATGCACATACTGACACTGGGAATTGCTAAACCTTGATGTAGCAGGAACCTGCTCTGTTACCTTGGCAAGAACTTAAATCACCTTTTGCCTGTTTCTTCTATCTCAGTCTCTCTAGATTGCACCTGTCCTGAGGAGTTCACAGGTTCTTGGAAACAGTCACACTAACACAGCCGGCACCAGAAACACATTCTTATTTGTGCTACAAGCAGTCAAGAAATGCCATTTGCACTAAAAGTTCATCAAACTGTGTAATGATGCAGGTTATCCAAAAATAATTAACTTCTTACTCATTTGTACACTCAAAATAGAGTTTTGAAAGTTCTAGGTAATCGTTCAGATAACCAAGGATCTACAAATGGGTGCAGATACATTGTCATGTCAGTTAATCTCTTGTTGCTTTGGAGGACTCTTGTCCTTCTCTCATTTGCAACGTCAATGTTAGATCACTTCCAGACTCCAAGTTGGAGCAAACTGAGAAGTCTCCTTACAAAGCCTCACGCTGGGGTGTGAGTCTTGCAGTCTGACCCAAGGCAGCCTGCACAAATTTGGCCGTGGTCTCCCTGGGACATACATGATCATGTAAATACTGAATTACTGCTAACTCTTTGCCATTTTTCAGAACCAGTTCTTCCAACCTGCTCTTCTTTAGGGCCCAACTCTGCAGTAAGCTACACAAGTTTATATCCATTCAAAACTTATTCCATTATTAAGATTTAGGATGTTTGCTATCTTACAGTATGCAATCATGTGGTCTACAGTAAATCCCTTCAGGCATGGCCTGCATTGTAAAATGTTTATGAAGTCCCCAGGACCATTAGGCCACACATTCAGTGCCAATGTGCTACATATAGTAAATGGCTGTCACGAACACTTACCTTTGCAAACAAAGCACTTAATATGGAAATATTTGTTCTGAACTCTCAAAACTTCTCCTTTGCATGGGTTTCCGCAGTTATTGCAAAGAATTGCTGTACTTGATGGCTTCTCAAGTTGGCTATGTACAGCCTGTGGTTGTGAAACTACAAAGGAAAACAACAGACAAAGTATCTTTAATGCTTTGGGACAAACAACTGCATTATAATCATCTTCTATAAGACATACAAATAATCCCAATTTAAACCAGGGACAAAACAAGCCATGTGAATCAAAACTTGGAACAAAGCAGCTAACGTAGATTAAACAGTTTTAACTTCTGATACTGAGCAGCACAGGAGAAAAGATCTGCTAAATGAGCTGAAAAAGTTCACCCTTTTAAACATTTCAAACATAATCAGGAACTGCCTATAGAGAAAAAAAATCTCATGAAGATTAAGACCCTCTCTCTCAATTGCAACAAATCGCTATGCAGCATCTCCCTTTCAACAATTCAAAATACATAAACAACGGGTATTATTTTAATGCAAAATACCTCTAATGGGATTTAGTTACCATTACATCATGATCTGCTTTTCTTTAAAGTTCAAAGTAATTGCCTTTCTAATTACTTTTAAGATACAAATACACTTCTGCAATCTTTTGAATACATAATTTGAAAAAATTAGTGTTTCTGTAACTACCACACACACATGATCATTAATTAAACATTGCTGACATTATGTAGGAAACCATTTATTATTTTACTAAGAGATTAAGTTTATTTAGGCTAGTAATATATAAAGTGAATTAAAAATTTGCTGCCATCTTGTGATGCAAGGTAGAAATTGCATTTACTGGGCTGTTAATATAAATTGTTATTCTGATGTTCTTCTAGTAATTCTGTTGTAGTACATGCATTGATTTTATATTGCAAGGCACTCAGTCTGTAAGAGAGGGAATACCAAGTGGGCTAAATACAATTGGCTTTTTTTTCTACCTAAAGAACTAATAACAGGAAAACATACCACACACGTTTAGCAAATTACATACTCACCAAATTGTTTTTAATTAAAAATACAGTACTGTCTATATCTTTGCCATAGGGAGGGATGAAATAAAGAGACCATGAGGGTTATTTTCCACTCATAATCATACATGGTATCAGACACGGTGAGTGTCATTACGAGTGTGGTGTTGAGACATCTACATGCACATCTGGTCTTGCTGGAACCCACCCCCATGCTGCCCTGGAGAGCCCGGGCCCACTCTAGTCCCTAGCGTCTGTCCTTGCTGCTCTTCCTCCTCTATTCACACCCTCATCCCCATCTCTGGTGTAGGATGGGGACGCTTAAAAGGTCTCTTCTGGACCATCGACTTTATGGAGTCACTATTTCAAAGAGATGTTGAACCCGGCATCCAGGGCTCCAGGGATGTTTCTGGAAGTTTTGCCCAGTGCTGCATCCTCTAACTGTAAGTAAAAGATTTTTTAATTTATTTTTTTCTCCCTAGGGAGACCCACATGCTCAAGTTGCTTGTAGTCACTCACCGCCCATTCACATTTCGCCTTGCCCTATTTTGCAAGGCTGCATCCTCTGTTGGCCAAGAAGTCCTGCCGAAAGCGGCGTGAATTTTGGAGCTGCTACTGCAGCCCTGGTTCTAATTAAGTACATACGCAAAACAAACAGCTCTGAACAAGCAATTAGAAGTTTATAGAAATGCAGCTGCCCAAATTTATGAAGTGGAAACAGTGCGTGTAGTTCGAGCTGATGTGACCCTCTCCCTTTTTCCTTTAAAGAAATAAAAATGGGGAGAACTCTAAACTTCACAATCCTTAGCATTCAACACAAAAATTTCTCTGTATTGTAAATTCCCCAATACTATCCATCTTGCAATTAATTGTGGAATAAACCCTGCAAGAAATGTAAACAACTTTTTGGTTTTGTTTTACTGGCATACTTAACATAACAGGAGACAAAGGTTTCTAATCCTTGGTAAAGACAGTTTTCTCTCCAAAATTGTTAATGAGCATCAGATCTGTACCATTTAATTCATGGACTGAAAGACAGTTAACTACACTCGGAACACATTGATCTGAAAAGTCACCTCTGAAATAGAAAATTCTGATCAGAATGAGGGAATTGTTTGAAATTTTGAGGTTGTGCATCAGGGGCGTCTGCCGAGGCTCCAGGCTTCGTGTCTGGGGCACCCTGCTCACTGCAGCCAAAACACTGGTGCCCTGACAAGGAAAACTACAGTTTTCTTCCTCAAAAAACTGGTAAAACCTCTGGCACACATACGCGTTCATTTGTCCATTTTCAAAATGCTTTCAAAAGTTTTGCTGCTGCTGTTGCTTTGGGGGAGACACTTTTCTTCCCTTGTTGAAGAGCAGTGGCAAATAGCAATTCTTGCCTGACCCTATTTTGTGATTAACCAAAAAGAGGGAGACCTGTGGCCTGGCCCAACCAGACCTGCTTCACAGGAGAGCAGCCCAAGCCCCTCCATCCTGCACCATCGGGCCATTGCAGAGGCGGGTCCATATCTCCGGCCACCAGCATGAGGGATCCTTGCAAGCCCCAACTCCATCAGTCCACGTTTCTGTCCCTGCTGGACGTAGAAAGGGAAGGGATGCAGCAGAAAGCTCAAGGAGCCCTTGAACATCTCTCCTGAATCGTTCCTCCAAATATCTCACTAAGGAAATAAAACTCTGCAGAACAGCCAAGCCATGCCAATGACTGTCTTAAATTAGATGAAAGCTACTATTTCTGTTTAACAAAACCTTCCTGGAGAACGTATAGTCTACTACTCTCGGACACCTCTCACACAAAAGAAAGACATTCCTGAAGTCTTTCAGGACATACATTTCCTCTGCTTTGAAAGGAGGAGCCTGCCCATCTTGCCAGGACACGCTGCCGGTTACGGAGCTGCCGGACCCTGGCAGAGAGGAAGGGCAACGTCTGGTTGCTCCCTCGCAGCTCACCTCAAGTTCAAGGCTGTGGTTGCTGGGAAGCAACAGCGTAAGGTGGCACCACGCTGCCCTCGGCGCTTCCTGGCCACCTCTGCAGGGCAGGAAGACGGAGCATTGCCTGCTCCAGCGTTAACCTGGAGAAATGTCCTGGAGCCAAACTCTGCCAGCGCCTGTGCCTTGCAGCAACCACCCTAGGAACACCTTTCCTTACGCTATGCTGCCCAAATGCAAGAAACTTCACCCACTGACACATGCTTTTGCTCTTTTGAATGCTTTGAGAATTTTTTTTAATTACTTCTCATCAAGAGCCGGAATTGAAAAATAATGAAGAATTATCAATACATAACAAATTACATTAAAAAGTAGTATTTCTTTTGGAATTCCTTCATTAACTTTGAAATAACACAAATTTAATATTTAATATACGCATGTTACATAATTATTTTGCTTTCCTCTCAGATCAGAAGCTAATCAGTGTTTCACACAAACGTCTCTATGAAACCAAGCGGGAACACAGTGCCTTTGGGCTCATTATAAAACAGGGCTTTTGATGGCACTTTTAAATTATTATTATTTCTTCTTGCAGAACACAATGATGTGATTAATGTTAATCAAAATTGGAATAGTTTTTTAAAAAATATATTGCGCTTTATATTGATACAATTTTTTTAAAAGGAAATACTTTCAAACTAATTATGTTAGTCAATTAAGAATTTTAGCATACGTGCATTTCAAATCACTATTAAGAAAAACTGTTACATGGTGATTTTCAGCATTCTATTTTTACCCCATAGGTATCAAAACTCATCTTCAAAACAGAAGATATGACCGACATATTTAGCTGGTAACATACTGTATTGCTTATGGAGCTTAATGATCCAAAAAGACTCATCTGATCATAACCCACTAAACAGCTCATTAAAAATTAAACGATTACATTATTGCGTTCTGGTTTGCAGGATTTAATGAAGCTAGAAATTTCCTTCCTAAGTGGCTCTTGCTGAATAGAAATACAACGGAAAGCCTGATTCTCCAAATTTCTCATCTTCCTAGTTTGCCAGTATGCTGCTCCAGCAGAGGTTATCTCCACAAATTCTTAAATCCTACAAAGGTTTTATTATATTTACTTTCTGACAAGGACAAAAATGGGACAGAAATGAATTAGCATACACTTTCCACAGCACTGCATTGGCATACAAGGGTTGTGTACTGGCAAAATTTTATGTCAAATGTCCAGCGGCTGCACATTTCTGATGCCACTACTCAGCAATCAGGCTCATCTCTCCAACATGCTAGGCAGCCCCTAATTCTGTAGTTCTGGATTAAGTAGGGATTACTAAATTAGCAATGGTTTAAAAAATGCAAAATAAGAAGCATTTCTGAAAATAGATTTACTTCTATGTTGCTTGCTCTAATCTCATACACTGGCTCCAAATATGATGGGGGAAGAGAGGACTGCTGGATGGCTCCTTATTACAGCTGCGCTACATGACAGTTTCAGTGGGCCAATAACTTTATCTTTGGTGTCCTCAGCCTCATTTCTTTACAGAAGACCTCAGACTTTAGCTGCCAACCTTTGACTTCCCTCTGCTGCAAGCAAATCTCTTGGACACAGCAAAGCAGATCGCTGCCCACCTAGGCCTGGTGCATGCAGAGGACAAGCAAATGCTACTGATACTGGGCTCTTGGCCAGCCAGGGGACAGAAGTCCTCCTGGTAGACCACAAACCTCATGAGGAAATGCACGGCTAGAAACTGCAGCATTTAACACAGTCCTAATGAACAATAATGAAGCGTTTTAGTACACGAGCACATAACATGGGTCTTCCCCTCCCACTAATGCCTCAGTTAAGAGAAAAAAAAACTACAAAAGAATTAGTGTCTAAAATTACTAACACCAGTTGTTCAGTTCATGCAATGTTCAACATTTTCAACCAAGATGAAGGCAATGTTCTAGCTCTGAAACCCAAACGCGCAGCTCACACGATGAATACTATTCAGCACGACTCAATTAACAGAAAATTATCATGGAAATGTTGACACTGAAACCTTTCATCTCTACAGCCTGAATGGGTCACTGCAATTCAAAAATCAACAGCCAAGAGACCTGAATGCCATTTACTCACTAACCATTTGAGAACAAAAATATTGACTGTTGAGGCACCGTATCAGCCAAAGGTGGGGGGTAGAGAAGTGCTTAGAGCAGAATTAAATTTGCAATCTTTTCTGAGCAGGATTAAAAGAGACTCAAATGAGGGCAGCGCCACACCAGAATTAAGAGAGTTGAGTCTGAGTTCTTATTTTGCCAAATATTTCTGGTGTTGCTTAAATCCAAGCCTTCAGGGCTGGGTTTAAAACACAGGATAAAGGCAGAGGAAGCTCATCTCTAAACATCTGCAAACATTCCCTTAAGATCTCTACAGTTTTAGGTGCCTAAATGTGATCCCAGTTCCCTCCTTGTCATGTGCCTATCTACCAAAATATAGTGACTAGGAATCCTTCCAGCACCTGCCAGGAGATAAGGATGATATAATACTGTAATAAATGAATAACACGTGAGCTGTTCAGAGAACAACATGGATGTGAGCTATAAATGTAATTTTGGAAGATGTAATTTTGGTGTTTCCCTGCAGAGGAGCCAGCCAAGGCTCCAGCCAGGGCTGTTGGTGGCCCCGACACAGCAGAGCCTGCGCCTGAGCCTCCGCGGCAGACGTGCTAGAACTGCCACGGACTGGAATAGCATAAAACTGCCCGTGGGGACTTGCCTTCACGTATTGCTCAATCAGCAGCTTGTATTGGAAACCTATTTTTTAGGATAAGATGCTTGCATCCTGGACGGTGCCTTTTTATTATTAGGCAAAACCTTTTCCTAGAGGGAAGATGAAAAAGCTAAAGCTTTACCTTGAATTTCCACTTCACATATTTCCTCAAAAAGTTCAGCTAACTACCAAGTGGGCTGAACTAGGACCACCTTAGCGTGCACTAACTAGCTGACTTCCCCTATAAGCCTTTATATGATTATCATGTATGACAACTTCTGAAGAAGCACTATTTTTTTCAAAAATCTCTTGCTGTTCCTAAAGCAAGCACTATTACTAGTTCTTTAATTAATTAATACACCATAGGCAAATCAGCAAGCCCAATAAATCCTTATGCCGGCAAATCTCTATTTAATTAAAATAATTAACAGTCCAACAAAATAAAAACACAGTTAAAAATAGTGTTTTCATTTTTGAACTATATAACTGCTTTTACTACTTATTATGAATTTTTTTTTACAGTGCCTTTCCTTTGGCATGATGAAATGGATTGAATACCTGTCCCAATACACCCTGTGAATCATAAACAAATCTATCACTGACGCAGGGCAGCAGATACCTACTGAAAAATTGAAGCGTCTTCTCTTTTTCTGCTGATTACTGGGTTTTTATGGTATTGGAGATGGAGGAAAGGAGAAAGCAGAATGCAAACTAATGCAAACTAATGCAAACATGCATCAGATATTCAACACAGCACAAACACGTAGCACACACAAACGGGCTTCCGACGCTGCCGTGTGCTCAGGGCAAAATCCATGTCACACAAACAAGCCCTGCACCAGCTGCCCTCCCACACTCATCAGGGTGATGAAACATCCACCAAGTCCAAGTTCAGTTAGTAGAAATCAGCTGTATTTTAGGAGCTGCTATTGCAGCAGTAAAAAATTCTATTTTGGTATTGTTTTTATCAAGACAAGAAGGAGACAAGACTGGCACGGCAATACATCTGAATAAAGCAATCGGCATTTTTTTCATTAGCATCTAACATAAAGCGAAAGACACTTAAAATAAGTAATTTTTTTGAATTGAGCTCTTCGCTAATAAGTGTGGCATCATTATAGTTTTCAAATCACTTATACAAGACTATGAAGAATAACCTGAAATAAATATTTAGCCATCTCCTCCTCCACCTCTCTGCAGCATTTTCACGTAAACAACGAGTAATTACTCTGATGATAACACCAGCGAGTTAGCTACAGCAATCAGGGCTGAAAAACAGATTATTTCAGGTCCATCCTTTCCAAAACATGCAGTCATCCCACCGTACCTGTGTCTTCTGGCATTCCCGCATTAATTCAGTCCCACGCAGGCAGTGACATGGGAAGCAGCAGCAGAAGTTTCCGCCGCTTCTGCTCGCCGGGAGCTGCCAGGGCTCGGGAACGGGAGCCGCTGCGTGAGCGGTGCCGCAGCGCCCGAGCGAGCGGCAACTGCAGCGGCGCGCGGCTGCCTGAGCCACCGCCACCGCGCCGGGGGTCAGATGACTCCTGCACGCCCACGCGCAGGCAGGACGTGAGCCAAGAGCTGCTGCCAGGCAAAAATAGCGCCCCGGAGAAGCCCACATACCCTCCTGCTCGCAGGCCGGGCCATGGTGGGGACACACCACTGCGGCCTCAGCCTGAGGCGCCTGCGGTTCCCACCCGGGCCTACCCGGCAGGGGACATCGAGGAAAGGAAAGCTTCAGCAAGATGATATATTGAGGAAAAACAAGCCAAATGGGAGGCTTGCTGTTCACATCTGAAGCCCTCAACTGCTCTGGGCCAGCCTTGTGGGACAGTGCTAACACGGCCAGGGTGCTGGAAGGTGGTTTGGTCACTTGAACTCCCTAAGCCTGGGGTAAATGACGGGGAAAGGGAACAGGGCTGCATTTTCCCTGGGGAAGACCACAGTTTATCAAGGGTTTACTTTGGCTACAAAGCAGCCAAGAAATCTCTTCTCCTTTCCTTCCACCAACAGAAGCCAGGCAAGGACTTGCACATGAAAGCCAGTCTCCTCAGCTCCGGAGACAGCCGGGTGTACGAAAGCAACATGGACTGGGTGGCACTGGGCACAAAAAATAGACTTTACCAATTACTTATGGCCAGATACTTATTAAGCTCATTGCATTTCACAAGCTAAAGAATACTTTACCATAAACCATATTTAAAATCCACTGATTTGACCCAATGGCCATATATGCTTGTGGCTGACTTTCCATTGACTTCAATGATTGCTGAATCACATCTCACAGAAAGTTCAATCTCTTGCAATTTGCCACAGAGAAAAGAAATTATTTTAAAAAGATGATACAATGTTTTTTTTCCTCCTGTTTGAAAACAAAACAAAAACAAAAAAACAAAGAGGGCTATATTTGTGCAGAAGAAAGTGCAAGTTTTATGTAAAAATGGCTTAGTGAGTATCTTCTGTGTATTTTTAAGTTCTTGCTAGCTCACCATGGATTGTTGTAAAGACAGGGTGGAGGCCCCTTACTCTTTGCTTCAAAGCAAAACCCATCAGTGCTTCAGAAGAATTTATGTATGATTATGGGCAAGATTTCTTGATGGTAAGCCAGAAACAGCTGATTGTTCTTAGATCTTACAGAACTAATTTCAACAATAAGTTTTCTTTTAACTTATTACTTACATGATATGTCTTTGAATTTCATAATGGATAGATAAACAAAACAATGTTTTATTTTGTAATACTGACTATTATGTGAATAGAACAAGCATTTCTGTGACGACAGATAGGGAGCACAAATCTCTATGGACAGGACTCCAGCAACCTGGGACATGACAAACCCAGTGTCTGTAACTTGAAGTAGCTTTGGACTGATATGAAATGAGACCCATAAAGCAGATTCCAAGATCTCAACTTCCAACCCCTAATTCTTCACGTTCAAAACACATCATGGAAGTGATTCCATGAGTAATTTGAAATTACCATAAACTTGTATGAACCATATGCTGCACACATGAACAGTCTGATATTTGAAAACAAATAAAACTGAAACAATGAATTATTCAGTTCTTCTTCAGACTTCTTGCATTAAAACCTTACTGCAGTTCCCCCCAGTATTTTAGCTCTATCTGTACTAGACCAAATCCTTCCTTGTATTCCTTTGGACTTACCAACAGACGCCCTGGCTGAGCTCTCCAGATATTTGCAGGATTTGGCCTACTTAGATTTTCCCAGAGGTTATTTCAGCTTGGCAGACACGCAGAAGGCACTTTGCTAAATAACAACATTCGGAAAGGAGAGAAATTAATAGGCAGAAAAGTGAAAGAGCTTTCACTCTAGCACTGCCTTTCCCTCTACTGCCAGACTTGCTCCTTTTCAAGGCTAACCACTGTGTAACCCACATTTTGACAGTACACCATCATAATGAAGTCAAATAGGATACTGATTTGTATTTACAAATCTACTTGTAATCTTTGAGCCTTTACCCCAGTCTCACAACTTGGCTACAGCAAAAGAAAAATCATACTTCAAACACTTAGAGGTTTTTGACAGTGTTTCAACAAAACTTCAGCACTAGTTCTTGGCTTCACAGGCACAAAATAAGAGACTATTGCCCTTCATTAGTATGATTTGCTGACTCAGAGAGCGTGACAGGAGACACAGTGACAGCAGCACAAGCCAGACAGCCCAGAACCAGACTGTCAACACTCCTGCTGTTAGTCATCCATGAAGTATTATAGTTTTAACCTGATTTCTCAAACCAGCATAAGCCAAACACCTTTATTTCCTTATTCTAAAGGTAAGAGCATTATAGTGTCTTGTCATTTAATGGATACTACAGAAAAGGATGACGCACTTTGCTTCTTTTACTATTTTGGAGTCGAGCTCTGGTAACCACAGCAATGGCCACACTTGCAGCCTGTACCCATCCTTTTGTTTAAGGTTTCATTTAATCAAGGTTACGTTACTGAGGTCAGTCCCTTTACTGATGTCTTTACAAACAACAGCCAGACAGCTTAGCAGAGAATTTAGGCCACGTTGAAATGGATTAGCTGGCTACAAATTTATTACAGCCAATGGAACTGTTGCCCACCTTTTTTTTTTTTTAAAAAAAAAAAAAGGTTTTAATCAACTCATGGTTTTCTTATACTTGCACATCTCCTACCACAACTGAAAGAGAATGTCACTTCTAACTAGGAATTAAGGTTACAGTATACCTGTATGGCTGGCAGTAGTCCTGAATAACGAGATGATCCTTGCCCTCAAACACTTATGATCTGAATAAAGACAAACCTGCAGTAGAAGTGAAAATGAAGAGTAAAATGGTAAAGCTTTAACAAGATAGAGAAGGATCAATGGCGTATTTACAAACAAACCTATATCCTCTCACTTTCTGCCCAGTCTTTCTTAAGGCAATCAAGCGAGGACCCAGTCCTGTTGGAAATGGCCTCAGTCATCGAACCGTACTCATGGTTACCACTTATATGCAACCCAAATTTAGTCTGCACAGAAGCAGACCAAATTTAAAATTCTCTTCTGGTTATCAAACACTTCTGTCTTCAAATCAATGCAGGAGAGAGCATTTCTCATCATCTGCACAACAATGAAACATATACATGGGCACCGTTAATCGAAACATGTGCAACCAAGTATAGAAAAATAATGCAATTTGCAGCCTTTTTGAAGGACAAAGCTTGCGTATAAGCCAAGGAAACTGTTGCATATTTATGAAGCAGAAATCCTTAAAATGTAAGATCAGTTTGTGCATCCACTGAGCTTTGCATAAAGGATAACATGTTGCTGTGCTTTCTCCAGAGGTAATTGGGTCACAAGTCTTTTCTTGCTTCCTGCTATCTCTTGCGAATAAAGAGCTTCCTTCAGCCCCAGAATCTGTGATGACAGCCCTTGCCTGGTGGCCAGCAAGTCAGATGAATGAAACCAGAAGCTTTCCAGCTCCAGCATCCCTTTACTGCATTTCTCACAGATGGAATAGCATGTGCAGGACTGAAGAAATAGCGTGTTACAGCCCTTTCCGCTTGACTAGGAAAAGAGCACCTTACAATAGCATCTAGTATCCTGAAGAATATTTTATGCAGCCACATGCAATGTGAGTAAAAAACAAAGACACCACCTGCAAGTCTTTAGAAGATGTGACATAATAGGAAAAAGTATTGTACAAAAATCAAAACACAGGGCGCAAGAAAATTCATAAAGGCCTGACAAAGAGATGCCTCATAAAGAGGTCACAGAGTAAGAGCACATCCAGGAGATGGATGACTAAGTGACACAGGTCGGAAAGTAAATGGATACAGTGTGGTGAGCTGCAAAGTGGCGACGTATCACACACCTCTAGAAACCAACCTGCAGCGCAGGGAAATTGCTGCAGGAATGAAACTGATAGGGATGATCAGGAGCAAATGGAGATGTTCAGTAAGAAAAGAGCTGCCTAAATAGAGGCTATAGGCTGACAAGGGCCATTTAATGCAGGAAACCTGCCATGTAATAAGGTAAGGCAAACAATTAACAAAAGGTATTAGTTTCTGAAAGGTCACGAATGACACGGGACTAAACACAGAAAGGATTTGAGAGTTAGGGAGGAAGAGAAACTTAAACCATCTGCTGAATATCTGGCAGTAAATTAGAAAAGCAAACAAAATAATGGAAGGCACTGTGCTAGGGGAAGGTAGCCCAGAAGCAGTAGCAATGCTACTTTGATGAGAAACACAGATAAAACCTAGACTCCCCAGTCCCATATTTTATAGGAAAGAAGAGGGAAAAAAAAAGAAAAAAAGAAAGGAAACAGAATGAGCCAATAAATGCAAATTTGGTGTGACCAAAATTGTTCATAGTAAGCAAGGAATTTGAAAAGGTAATTCATACCCTTTACTACAGAAGGAATTTAATTACAAAATGAATTTGGCATTGAGAGGCTCACAATGGAGCCAGAAAGATTGTAGGCATTGCAAAGATGCTGAGATCCTTTTGAGATATTTCTTCTGGGAGTAATTAATGCACGGAAAAGGTTTTTAAAGATGCAATTTTCCATGTGGGTTGATGTAACATACACACACATACACACACAGATCAGTAAATGCTAATTTACCATTTTTACATAAAAAAATCACATTTATCTCTCTCTTTTTTTTTTTAATTTCAATGGAAATTTTAAGTCCTTAAATGGAGAATGCATTGAAGCATTAACGGATTATATAGACCAAAAGGATTGCTTCCCTGTTTTCTGAAAAGCATAGAAATCACCATAGTTCTGCTATCCTACAAGACTACCAAATGATAAAGTAGATTGGATTCCATTTAAAAGAAAGATTCAACCTACACTTTCAAATATTTTTGTAACAATCTTGAAAAACAACTTAGAGGTGTCTTAAAAACCACACGCAGTGATGC